GGGAGCTGAGACCACCTTTTCTCCCCCCCTGCCCCCTCCTGCACTGTAGCACCCTGAGGGGATGGAGAGCCTTCCTGGGGGGCTCACCCTGGGGAGCAGCACCCCGGGCTCAGAGCAGTGTGTGCTCCCGGCACTCCGGGCACAGAGCAGTGTGTGCTCCTGGCACTCTGGGGAAAGGACATGGCTGGGCAGCAGCCAGGACATTTCCCCAGCTGGGTTCTGGGCTGACCCTTCATTAATGAGCACCAGTGATTAGCCCTAATGAGCCCCTCCAGGCTCCTTGGGGTTCGGTGGGAGTTGGAGTTCACTGTTAGACACAACCCTGCATGTCTGGAAATTGCTTGTGGAGCAGGGACTGTGTTCCAATCCTTCCTGGCTGCTGAGCTGGAGGGGCATGGCCACAGCCCCCCAGCACCTGGCCCTGAGCTTTGAGGTACTGGGCAGTTTGCAGCATGGGGGTGTCCCATAGCCCAAGGCTCATCAGGTGAAGGAGGAAAGGGGGTCCTGCTCTGCCCAAGGCCCCTCCTGGCCCCTGCAGCAGCATCCCCTGGGCCAGGGTCCCCCACTGACCCCTCCCTTCTGCTCTTTCTTCCCCTCCAGTCTGTATCATGCCGTCGTGCCTTCTTGTGGGCCCTTTGAGGGGCTGAGCCTCAGCAGAGGCTCAGCCTCGCCAGAACAGTCTCCCCCCACGCTGGTGCTTGGCCCTGGACCCCCAAGCACCCCCGTAGGACTCTTCAGGCTCTTCCTGGGGCGAGATTCCCACTTGGCACCAGGGACTGGATTGTGGCGGGCCCCCTCACTCTGCTCCCAGGACTCCCAGCACGCTGAGCCCCTGCCCTCCCCTGTGCCCCAGGGGCAGGATGGATCCCCACCCAGGAGCAGCATCTTCAGCTGGAACCTGGTGGAGAAGCTGCGGCGCCTGGGGCTGGACAAGGTGGTGGCCAGAGGGGAGATGTCCTGTGCCCAGGGAGGGCACAGGGGGGCCCGGGGCACCCTGACGTGACACTGCTGCAGAGCCCCCAGGCTCACGGTGAGACACATCCTCTTCCTTGCCCATCCACGGGGAAATGGAGACAGGACAAGCTTCAGCCTCCTCTCCAGGTGCTGCCCAGGACTGGCAGCACTCCCGGCACTTGAGGAGGGCTTTGCCCTGGCTGCAAGGACAGAACCCAGCACTGCTCCCCATGTGTGGGGGGGTGCAGGGGGTGCCGACTGACCCTGTCCCTGCTGGGGGTAATGGACCCTTCACAGGAGCCAGTTTCTGGCAATAAGAACTGTTCCTGCTTCTGCTGAGCCTGTTCAAGGAGCGAGGGGCAGCTTAGCCCTTCGGGGCTCTCCAGAGCTGCAGCAAAGGGCGATGCTCAGGTGGGTCCTGGGGGAACCTGCGTGTGCCGGGGGAGATCCCCCCAGCCCAGGCTGGGCCCCTGGCCAGCACCTGGACTGGCTTTTAGAAGGAATGGTGGTTTAAACTCTTTCCCACTCACTGAGTAGCAATAGTAGCAGCACCCGCAGCTCGGGGTGTTTCTTGGGGTGCTGCTGTTGCTCCCACCGGCCACATCCCTCACCCCGGGCTGTGCCCTGTCCCCTGGCAAATAAATGTGAAGTCACAGAGCAGTTTGTGTGTGCTGTGTCCACTGCCGTGGGCAGTTGGGTCTCTGCCCTGTACTTCCCTGTGGGGCTGGGGGCAAATTCCCCCTGCCCACCCTTCCCAAGCTCTCCCCAGCACAGCCCTGGGTGCAGCAGCCGTAGTGCCAGAGTTTTATTGCAGGAAAGGACACACACCAAGGGCATGGGGGCCGTGCATGGTCAGCCCAGCCCCGTGGCTACGCGCCATCGGCCCCGTCCTCGGCGCTGCGGCGGCCGAAGTCCATCCAGTCGGGGTAGTAGTGCTCGTGCAGGGCCTCCATCCCCTCGTCCTCGTGCACGAAGCCCTTGTGGTTGTTCAGCTCTGCCAGGGCAAGGGTGGCAGTTAGAGCTGGCACAGGGGGCCGGGCTGTGCCCCCCGAGGGCTGCCCACCCCGAGCTCCTGGTACCTGTGAGGGCGTGGGGCAGGAACCGGGACAGGAGGTGCTGCTGCTCCTGGGACAGGTACTCGGGCCAGTCGCGCCGCACCAGGCTGGGGGGGGGCTGGTGGGGGTCCCCCCCAGCGCCCGGTGCCACGGGCCAGCACAGGCAGGAGGTCACAGTGATGGTGAGGATGAGGCCGAAGCACAGGGTCACCTTCATGGCTGTGGAGAGACTGAGAGGGGAGGGGAGCGGAGGGGCTGCAGCCCCCCAACCAGACGTGCTCAGCCTGCAGGGAGGGGTGACCTGGGTGCTCCTCCTGGGGTCTGGCCAGTTCACAGTCCCCTCTGTCCCTCCCTGTGGGTTCCCAGCCCCCTCCATCCCTCCCTTCTGCTCCTCAAGTCTTCTCCATCCCTGACTCCCAGCTGGTCCCCAAGATGACTCCGGACAGCGGCAGAGCCCTGTGGGACTCACCTGCAGGCTTTGGGGCTCGGTGGATGTCCTGGCGGGGTGTCCTGGCGGGGTGTCCTGGTGGGGTGTCCTGGCGGGGTGTCCTGGCAGGGTGTCTGGGTGAGTGTCTCAGTGGGTGCCTCTCTCCAGGGTCTCTGTGGCTCAGTCCTGCTTTTAAAGGCACTGACACGGCTGCCCCACCCCGAGGCGGCTCCACACCCACCCACCTCCCCTATGGGGGGGCCCACAGGCTCCTGTGTGTGCTCACAGACACACAGACACACACACAGAGTGCTCACACACAGACACACACTGAGCACTCACACATACAGACACACACACACAGACACACAAACACACACACACAGAGTGCTCACACACAGACACACACTGAGCACTCACACATACAGACACACACAGACACAGACACACCGACACACAAACACACACAGACAGAGTGCTCACACACACAGACACACAGACAGACAGACAGACACACACTGAGAGCTCACAGACACACACACACATATATATACATACATATTTATACATATATAAAAAAAAGAGATATTCATATGTAAACAGATATATGTATATACATATATATGTGTGTGTGTGTGTGCATATATATATACATATATACACACACACATATATATATGGGACTCGATGATTTTCATGGTCTTTTCTAACCTAAATGATTCTGGGATTTTATACATATGTAAAAATATATATATATATATATATATATATACACATATGTGTGTGCATATATATATATATATATATATATATATA